TTAGGCGTCTATTTTCTATACTAACGGCTCCCTAGGCTACCCTATAAGGCCTCCTACAGGGCCTCCACATGTAGTAGCCGCTATAATACAGTGGGCTAATATCTATAGGCCCTGTAAAGCTATAGGCTTTAACCTAGGGACCTCTGCCGAAGTCGCCGACGCCGAATTATACGCTATTCTTTAAGCCCTTCAGACTGCCCTAGAGTAGTCGCCTAGGCCCCTAGAGTGCTATATTTTTAGCGATTCACAGGCGGCTATTCAGAAGCTTTAGTGCTTCTTTTAGTGGGCTATAGAGGCTAAGACTTTTATCTAATAACTAAAATAACAGGGCACTTTAGTCTCTATATGGTGGTGCCCTTCGTATATAGGGATAGAGGGGAACGAACTAGCGGATAAGGCAGCTAAATAGGCATTAGACCCTAAAAAAGCTACTAAATCTATTAGCTTAATTACCCTTAGTCACTTAAAGCGTCGGGTTAACGAGGCCCTAGTTCGAGACTAGAAGGCTTTATAGAACGAAGAGGAAGAGGCGGAAAGAAAGGGTAAATCGGTCCGATTAGGCCGCCTTTATAGACGCCTAGTCCGAGATAATCTCCGCTTTTCCCGAAAACCACTGCCGATATAGGGCCCTAGGTAGGTAAAATCGGCTTTTATTCAGTTAAAAACCGGCTTCGGATACCTAAAATCCCACCAAAAAAGGGCCCGTAACTACGCTAACGACCGGTATCCCTATCCCGGCTCCCCTATACAGGATACAGCCCACCTTATCCTTTCCTGCCCTTTTTATAAAAACGAACGAAAAGCCCTGCAGGAAGCCCTAGCAGGCCTACCGCTATCTCTACCGCTATTATTCGGTACTAAAAGAGGAATACAGGCTTTAGAGGCCTATCTTTTAGCTACTAAAATAGCCTCGGCAGAGTGGTACAGGGCGTAAACCTCGGATCCTGCGGTCTAGTTATCTGTTTTGGTTTTTACCTGTTTTTCGGGATATTAGGCAGACTATTACGGAGGATTTCCTTTATTTATTACTACTACTCCACTCCTTACTATATCTTATTCTAGCCTCTAGCCTATAGGGCAAAAGGCGCCGCGCTATAGCTTTAGGGCTGTATGCGTGTAATGAAAAAAAAAAAAAAAAAAAAAAGAGGGAGACGCGTGCCTTTACCGGTATAGTGGTTGTAGCCGCCGCTTAAGACGGGGTTAGTTCCTAGGCTATCTTATCTATAACACGACTTATAGTTAGGCGCGTCGGCGAAATAGGCAGTTTATTTAGATTAGCACGAGTAGGGGAGGGGTAAATACTAGTATAATAACCCTTCTAGTTATAGTTAAAGTATATAATAAGTTTAATCAGGGTATAAGAGGGCCTAGCCTAATCCTATACTTCTTCTGTATTCTCTATAGCTCTAGGGGGGTTTAAAGTTGCCGGTATTCTAAGGAAGTTTCCTCGGCTATAATTAGTATAAGGGGTAGACGGCTATTATCCCTTTATTAGGGGCTTAATTTTTAGTTACTCGGCCCTTTTATATTCCTTATTATATTTTAGGTAGGTTTTCGGTATTCTATACGTGGATAAGACGTGCTCCCGGATTAGGGGTAGGACTCGAGTAAGGACTATCTAGATCCGCTATTAGTCTAGTAGGCGATTAGGGAGTTCCGCTTCCAGGGCTTCCTACCGCTAAATAAACTTCGTAAAGGGTTCGCCGGGCTTCTAGCCCGAATAATCGTTAGTTTATATCTATAGAGCGACCTTAAGTAAACGCGTATCGTAATTATCGACTTATTCGCCTAACTAGGTCTTTAAGGCCTTTTAGGTAACCCGGGACGAGTTATTATTATAGGCGTGCCGGAGGTAAGATTACTATCTTTCCTTAAGGTAGTTCGGTAAGGAGGCTATTACGTAGTAATTCTTCGAGGCGTTATTAGGAAGGCTATTAAGGTTAATTATAAAGTATTACTTTATTTCCTAGATAAATATCCGGTATTTTACCCACGACTCGCTATTCTACTTAGGGACCGCGTAGTTAACCTTCGCCTATAAGGAATTAGTCCTAGATGTAGTAGGGGTTTAGGGGGGATTAGTATTAACGTGGCCCTAAATAGTGGAAGAAGAAGAGATAAAGGACTAGGTATCTAGAATAGAGCGATAGGGCTCCGCGATATGTCGCCGTATAATAGTATAGCCGTTAAGGTTAGGATAGTTCGTAGTTAGGGGACTAGCCCTAACGGCTTTAAGGGCGATAAATCGGTCGAGTTTACGCTTCCGCGCCTCCGACGCCTCGAACCACTTAATCCGTTTCTTAACCTATACGTCGGTTAGCTAATCGTGGGGGATACCCTTATAAGGATAGGGTAAGTAGGATAGGGCAGGGGCTACGGGGGGTATTACGTGCTAAGGGGATAAGGGGTAAGGATTAAGGTCTATCTCCGTGTAGGGCACGCCTTAGTCACGTTATACCTATATCGTGGAGGCGCCTAGGTTTAAGGGATTATCGATATACAGTAAAAGGTCGGAGGAGCTAACTATATTATAGGTCTTATTATTCTTATAGAAAGGTATCGTTTTTCCTATCGATACTCCTTAATAGTCCTTATACCCTTTTAGAAAAGTAGAGCGATTATTATATTAAATAGGTAGTTATAAGGAGTAAGAAGGTAGTAGCGAGAGGGTCTAAAAAGGAGTAGGCGTGGATTAAGTGGTAGTCACGGCTAGTCCGAATATAGGTAATCCTAAAGAATCAGAATAATTGCTACCCTCTCTATACTAAGGAGGGGGCACTATATAAGCACTATATACTCCTAGGCTAACGCTAGTATAGTTAAACGGATATCGTAAACGGATATCTACGCCTAAGCCTAGGCCACGGCCCTATATAGTAGTATCGGCCTAGGGCAGCCGTGGCTATATTAAGACGGGAGCCCGGTCTCGTCTATACGGGAACCCGTTATAGTCCTATCGTGTACCCGGCCTCTATCTCCTAGGCAGGGACACCTAATATATATATCTAGCTAGCCAGTACTATAGGACCTGGGAGCCAGGATTTCTAAGGAGTAACCTTAGAGTGCCGTAAATAGTGGTAAAATAAGATATCTTCGTCTAACTAAGGGGGCGCGCCCCCGGGACTTAAGTATTCCACGGGTAAACCCTGTAGAATCCTCGGCTCCTACATATAGGAACCCGGGGGATTCCCCGGTATTTACTAATTATACCCCAGGGAAGCTATAGTATACCCTAAAGGTACCTATAGTATACCCTAAAGGTACCTATAGTATACCCTAAAGGTACCTATAGTATACCCTAAAGGTACCTATAGTATACCCTCAAGATACCTATAGTATACCCTAAAGGTACCTATAGTATACCCTGTGGGTGCTATGGCTTATACTATGGAACCGCTAGGGTACCCCGTGGTACGCCCTGGTATTTCCGGTGGAATCTAGGGCGTATTAGTCTCCTTAGCGGCCTCTATAAGAGCGAGTAGTTCCGACTCTATTAACGATATCGTAACTATCGGTTACTTACCCGCCTTTTAGTTAATAATACTACTAAAGAGCTTTATCATGTATCCTTAGGAGCTTTTACGGTCTAGATTATCCCTGAAGGATATATCGCTTACGGTTAGGAAGAGTCTCTCCCTACCGAATTCTAGGTAATAATACCTTATATAATATAAGAATAATAGTATTTATCAAGCCTTTTTAAGTTGGTTAAAGGAGGGGATAACGTTATATTAGGAAAGCTTCGAATAGGCGAATACGATATCGGGTCTTATTACGATAACGGTATATGGGAAAAACTTATTATACCCTGATACTAGCGGACCTTAGGAATTAACGCGTATATACTACCGCGTAGTATTAACGGCTTTATAGTTAATAATAGGACTTTTAATAGTTTTCGGTAAAGGATATCTAAGTAGTATTTAACCGCGATCTTCTTTACGTAGGAGGATTATAATAACTCTAACCTACGTATAGTTCCATCCCTTAGAACCTTAATTCCTAAGAACTAACGGATTTCGTCGCCTCCTAATAACCTATAGCTTCGTTTAATAGTAGCCTTAAGATTATTAGCGTTAGTCTTATAATCTCTATGGTAGAGTATAACACCTATATATAAGGCTACGCTATGTTAATATTTATAACTAGTAAGCGGGCTAGTTAGTATAGCAAGGCTTTTTTAAGGTTATATACGTTAATATGAAGAATATAATCGTGGATAGCTTAATAAAGGTATTACCGGAGGCGGGGATTAAAAAAGTATAATACTAGCTTAATTTAACTGATTAAAAGAATCGTATCGAGTAGTTAAAATAACTATACGAAGAGATTAAATACGCTAAATCCACGGCGGTAAAAACGATAAAAGCTCCTAAGGGCGTAGTAGATCTGATAGATATAGATCCGATTAAGTAGATCCGGCTAATCAGGATTAAGAAACGAATTAAGATAGAACTAAATTAAACAATTAAATAGGGCGGATTTAAATCCTTTTTATAAGGGCGTTTTCCCTTGACTACTAATTTTATAATAGAAAAGTTAAGAGCTTTCTAGTTTAAACTAAAGCCTTTAATTAATTAGTTAAGCTAGGAAGACCCACTTTAACTAAGGGGGTATATCGCATAGGCACACGGACTATAATATAGCCCCTAGGGGATCTATACCTCAGTAAGGGCTTTAGATCTCGGGGACCTTAGGTATCAGGATATAGTAAGGGCGGATACCGGAAAAGACCCGATAGGATCCAAATAATATAATATCTATAACAGAGTCTTTACTATCTAAATCAAGGGTATAAAAGACTTATATAGATATAACTTAATATAATACACACCTACGAGATTTCTGCTCTATTAAGTCAATTATATAAGTGCTATTTTAACGTGCGATATGTTAAGGCTTAATTAATACCGAAGTTACCTTACTAAGCATGGGTGTGAGTGTACCTCGGGTCGTATACAATACAGTACAAAGTATCGATACATTTACATATACTCTGCTAAAAATGGGTTCACCTTACGAATATTCACAGTATTTTCACTGTGTTTTTGCGTGACCCCCTGATATCTGCCATTGCGTTGCGAGAGGGGCAGGGACGATCTGTAATTCTAGGTATTCCGGACAACTGAGAAGTCTGGACCAATTCTAACAACCTCCACACGACCTGACTCGACGAGTTCACGACGGCACATCATAGATATATATACCAGTCGACACTCTACAATTGTTAAAAGGACTTGGCGAACAGCAACGCATACCCGTGGAGGGCCTTCCCACAAGCCCAAAAGCCCAACGAGCGATAGTCCACACCTGTTCGAGATGGATGATTTCGTGAGCGAGTCTGATAGCGACTATACCAGTTATTGGCGGGATTGGGTAAGTTTATGCGTCTCTCCCACGCCTTCCTGGAGGCCTGGGAGTCAAACGCGCGAGAATACTTCAGCACTCATCTTCCCCTTCCTTTATTTTACCTCGGCCGCCATTCCCATGGTTGATGCTATGCCATTGTCAGATCCAGCAGGGTACTAATCATGTTCTCTACACAGTTTATATCGTCACGCGGAAACGAATACTTTTGCGAGATCGACGAAGACTACCTGACAGACAGGTTCAATCTCACAGGTCTCAACGCCGAAGTCCAATACTATCAATATGCACTTGATCTCGTCACCGACGTTTTCGATCTCGATTGTGAGGATGACATGCGAGAGACGATCGAGAAGTCTGCCAGGCATCTATACGGCCTCGTCCACGCCAGATACATCGTGACCACGCGTGGACTTCAGAAGATGGTGAGCCTCTCTTCCTGGTCGCATCTTCCATGTTCTCTCCCTCTCCCCTTTTCTTCTCTGTCGTCGCGAGATACAAAAAGAACCCCCCCCCCCCCCTTTCTTTTGTCGAAACGGCGCAGTGAAGAAAGACTTACTGACGACGCCCACCCTCGCCGCGAGAAATAGCTCGAGAAGTACAAAAAAGCCGATTTCGGAAAATGCCCGCGCGTCATGTGCCAGTCGCATCCGCTACTACCCATGGGTCTCTCGGATGTTCCCAACCTCAAACCTGTCAAGCTGTACTGCGCGCGATGCGAGGACGTCTACAACCCCAAGTCATCGCGCCACGCTACCATCGACGGTGCCTACTTCGGGACCTCCTTTCACAATGTCCTCTTCCAAGTTTACCCGACACTCGTGCCTACGAAAAGCATCGAGCGCTACGTCCCGCGCGTTTACGGCTTCAAAGTGCATGCCTCGGCTGCGCTGATTCGGTGGCAAGATCAGAAGAGGGACGAGATGCGCAGGCGGTTACGGAAGATGGACGTGGACGTGGGCTTTCCGGACGACACCTCTGACGTGTTGGAGGAGGAGGACGGCGACGTCCAATTCGAGGGCGCAGATACACGCGTCGCCGTGGCGGATGGGACTGGTCGCAATGTTTGAGCGTGCGTTGTTACGTTATAATGAACAAATATTAACGGGTCGCTTTCTACCCATCACTTGTAAACCCGTGATACACCGGCGACAAGAACGCCGACAAGCTCCCAATTCGTTGCAAGGCGAGGGGTGGTTGAATATCCGTTTGCTCACGTTTTCCAAGATGGAAACTTTCTAACCGATACGCCGTCCTAACTCCTACCTGCAGTTCGTGCCACTTATAAACAAAGTCATGTGCGTGTGCAATTAACACCATAATTTTCATATTTCCGTCCAGAGATGCTTATTCAGATCGCATGGCCAAACCTCTCCTCGCGTCCCCATTCTCCGTCGTGCTGAACCTGAGTTGACGAACTTGGCTGCAGCTGGTACGCTTCTGGCTGGTCGCCATGGGCTATCGATCTCTGACCCATCTGGGCAGAGTTAGGATGCTCTCTCCGGCTAAGGTGACTTTGTTCCAAGCCATGTCCGTTGGGCCTGGTAACATCATCGTGATCCTTTGGCTGGGCAATCTGAGTTGTAGACGCGCCGTCATGCGCCCTAAATCCAACGCTCTCCTCCACGTCACCGGGCACGTCCAAGTCCTTTTTGTCGGTAGCATAGCTGTAGGACCCAACACCAGCCCACCATGCCTTATCGTTGCTCCGAGGACCCCAAGCCCAGCCCGCACCGTGTTGGATGGGGAGGTGGTAATAGTAGAAGGCGAAAATGGATGAGAGCAGGCCAATGAAGTAGCCGAAGAGGATGTCGAAAGGATGGTGGCGATAATCGAACCAGCGAGAGCCGGCAATGAAAATAGACAAGAAGAAAGGGACAAGAACAAGACAGAGAAGATACAATGGCGGGGCGGCGGCTTGACGGCGAATAGCGGTTACCATCTTGCTGTGGCTCGCTAGACGGTCCGAGGGCGTTGCAGCCAGAGGAAAGCCATGTCGCTTATCCGATGCCGGGGGTGCAGATGTCGCGAGGCGCGAAGGGAATGCGGAGTGCGAGGCCGCATCGCCCTGGTAAGCGACGAAAGGTATGGTAACGGCGAATTTGCTGGCTAGGAAGAGAGAGAGATAAATCAGGCCCGCTGCCGAGGAGCTGGCATGGCCGGAAGGGTAGCTGCGAAACCCCTCATCGAGTTTGGAGGAGTCAGTGGTTTGACATATATCCGCCGACACGAGCGTTCCGATACCAATAACTTGGTCCAAGCCGAGCGTGGAAGGGGCTTGGGCCTGATTGCGGCCAATTCCCCCAACGATATAACGCTCAATATTGGCCAGGTCGGGTTCGCACCGCGACAGCAGATCAGGGCGAGGCTTGCCAAACATGTTCTTCATACCGCTGGTGACGAACCAAGCGGCGACGACCGCCAAAGCAAGGCCAAGCCAGCCTACGTGCAGTTCCCACAGTTTCCTCCGCCATATTAAGGACTTCGGAGTCCCCTTGGGTGCGGTGGCTCCGGGAACGAAGATGAGGCAGACGAGGAGGATGATGACGGCGGGAGCGAGAACGACGAGAAGGAGCAGCAACCAGACGGGAACGGTCTCTCTCTCGGTGAAGGGAAATCTATCTCGACAGCCAGACGCTGCAGCATTAGCGATGCGTAGAGTAGTACTGGCGAGGATCGTGGTGTAGGATGTCATGCGGCAAGTGACTCGAGGGACGGCAGGCACCGCCTACGAGCCCCAGTGCCTCTCGTCCTTTCCATTCCGAAGCCCGTTTATGTGGGGTATTAATACGTACGATATGGTAGGGTCAACAAGCGAAAAGTGACGCTTGTTAGGTCCAATAATGGCTAGAACGCCCCCGACAGCGGCAGCTACAGCGAGGATGACCCAGTCAAAGATATAGGACGTGATGAGAGAGGCTGTCCAACGCCGATTAGGACGCCGAGTAGCACCACTGGGACGGGGGATTGAGTAGGATTCGGACATCCTGTTGTATGGTGACCCCTGTGCAAGGTCAAAGCGGTTCAAAGGGATCGACTCGGGCATAAAGGGCAGGAAGCGCACAGTCAAGTGAGTAGCCAGTGGGTAGTTCGTGATAGACCCGTTAGACTCGGGCTCGGTTACCTGTGGTTCCTGCCTTCCTCTCCTAGCATGAGCAAATGTTACGTAGTGTTATGATTAAGCAACGGATTCAGGGGAAGAAGCGACCTGGATGATTCATGAGATGCAAGTGTCAGATGCCCACAGCCACCTTATCGGGGTGTGACAAACCATATTATATCAGACGTGTGGAGTACCTTCATCCTATATATCCACAGTCTTTTCCCCTGCTTTTCCCCTATATATAGATATCCTTATAAAGTATTTTAAACTTTACTTAGATGAATATATATATAATATCGCGTACCTTATTTATATTCTGATAGTTATAAGCCCGGCGTTCTAATAAAAACAAAGCTATTCCGATCGATCCTATAGCTTCTAGGCTTTTAAATCAGCCTTAAGTCTATAGCGGCTAGTTTAGTATTATGAGTAATATCCGCCTACTTTAGTTTGATTCTATTGTTTTATCGTTTTTATCGCACTACCATTTAAAGTATTTAGTATAGTTAATTAACTTTTTTGTTTATTCTCTTCCACTGCTTTTTATTAGTATAACGATAGCTTCCACGGTAATAGTGCCTATTATAGGCCTCGTAACGCTTACCGTTCCGAAAGACTAAAGGCCTTAGATTAAAGCCGTGATAACTATCGCGTACTCCTACGATATCGCCGACCTCGTTAATCCTAATCTTAAAGAGGCTAAACGGCCTAAGCGCCGTATTCGAACCGATCCACTATAACCTCCTACTATAACCGAAAAATATAACGCTACTAATTAGGATATACTATTGAAGATCTAGTAGGTAGAAGAGGATCGGTAGAAGGCTAAAAAGAGGGGAATCTAAGCACTTTATAACTATATCGCGAAGACAGTTAGCCCTGCTTTAAAGGATTATATCAGGTGCCTGCAATAGTGGTCATAATAGGTCCCCAATATAAACCCATAGGGGTCCAGGTATACCTAGCCTAAGACCCCTCGAGGCATAAACAAGGTAAGTTATCACACAGTAAACAGAATGACCCCTCGAAGTAAATAAAGCAGCCCTCGAGAAAGCAAATAAGCAGTCCTCGAGGAGCAGAGCGTAGTCTTAAGGAGCGAGGGAGCCTCCCCTTAAAAAGGGGAGGCCAGCGATTAATCTAATTCTTTAGCTATACCTATATGCTAACCCTATTATAATCCTATCGTGATTATACCTAATTCCTTACTTAACACTACGTTTTCACTCTTTACGACTACCTATTTAATATTTTAATCGCTATACCCTCTAAAGACGCGAAGACTATTAAGGAGAGTGACTAAGATATCTAATTATCACGAAAGAAATAATCCTACCTTCGATTTTAATAAGGCTACTAGTTAGTTTAAGCGGTAGCTCCGCGATAGCGAGACTGCCTTTATAGAAAACGCCTATAACCCCGATAACAAGAAATATAACGGGAATATACCGGGAATTAATACTACTCCCACTACTCCTACCTCTACTACTATACCGGCACCTATTCCTGCCCTTATACCTACTCCTATCACTAGCACTACCTCTACCACTACCTTTACCCCTATCACTATCCCTATTCATTAGACCACGGTTATAATAGGACTAACGTATAATCCTAACCTGTCCCCGTATATAAACGTTAACCTAGCTACGCTAACGGAGGAATAACTAAATAAGCGTATTTAGTGGATAGAGGCGTAGAACTACCGTAAGCATAAGCTCGCTTACCTTACTAAGCTTAAGACGGATACTACCGCCGCTACTACTACCGCCGCCGCTATTAATCCTAACCCGGCTAATATTACCTACCGTCGTATAGCTAAGCCTCGGCGCCGTATTATCGCGACCCTAACGGGTTCCTAGTATATCTATAATATATCTATAATATCCTCTATACACGGGTCCGCTACTTAGGCTAAGTTTAATTTCCCCTTACCTAAATAGGATAGCGTATCCTAGGCTAAGTATCGCACGTTTATCTAGGAAATAAATTAACGGTTTAACCTAAACTCTTGGTCTTTCCCCACGGACGCTACGAAAAACTATTTCGTTATATTATACCTCCCCTATTACCTTAAGGAACGCTAGCAGGCTAAATTACGATATAAGTATAATAATAACTTTAATAGGGTTAGCTAGGCTATACTATAGGCTTAGTTATCCTATTAGGTTAATAATAATAATACCCGCCTACGGGAGGTAGCAGTATAGATCCAGAGCGAGTCAATCTCGTCTTAGAGATAGGGCGAGTCTTATACTAAATTTATATAACGGTAGGAAGCCCTAGAGCCAGAATTACCGGGCGAACTCCTAGACTAATAAAGGATTTAGATAGTACTAATAAGGGTCCTCCCACCTATTCAGGACTATATAGTGTCTATAGGGGTTCCTAAGGACTATCAGGACCTAGCCCTAGCCTATCGCAGGGCTAAGGCTTTAACCGTTAACGATAGACTAGCCGTTACTCGAGCAGACTTCTAGTCTACTGCCTAATAATATCGTTTCCGTTCGCGTGCCCTAGGATAGAGCACCTAGACGGCCACCTACGATTCTACTAGTATCCCCGCGTCTACCCCTATATCTGCCCCTACGTCTACCCTAACCTCTACTCCTAGCTACCCTATACGCCCTAGACTATTATTATACCTTAGCTCTATTACTTACTATAACTATAACTAAAAGGGGCACTACGCCACTATATACCCTAGCCCTCGGGCATAGCGCTCGAGTAATAGTAACCCGAACATTTAACCGGTATCTATATCGTATCCCACGGTCGGCCGTGTCACGGGTAAGGACCCTAAGGATAACACCTACCTCGAGTAACCCCCTCTACTACTATTACACTAGTAAAGGCACGCGTCTCCCTTCGCCGAGGTAGGGAATAGATATAAGCGTTGGCTCTCCTTAACGGAGGCGCCGATATTAACGTTTTAGATCGGTCCTTATTAGGACCTAATTAGGTTTATAAGGGGTCCCCGGTCCTGGTATCCTGGATTATAGAAGGATAAACGAAGATAACTCTCGGATCCACCTATAGAATTATCTTCGCGATAGACTAATAGGGTCGGAAGAGAGTATAGCGCGCTGAGTTCTACGTTATAAATCTCACGGGCGCGAAGATTATCCTGGGGAGGCTATAGCTTATAGCCGTTAACCCTAACATTAATTAGTAGTATAGCACGTGGACTTACCCCTTAACCTACGCGGAGCTTAGTATAGCCATATTACCGAGAGAACTATATAGGGCAGTTAGATAAGCTAAGTCTATCCTTACTCTAACCTATATAGGTTCTACGTAGGGCCTATATATCGGTTATATCGGCCTAGTAGAAAACCCTTTAGTAGGATATAAAGATAAATTCTTAGAGGCCGGGGAACCCCCCACGCTACCGGAATAGTATTAAGATTTCGCTAATGTTGCTAACGTCGAAAACTAATATACCTAACCGGTAAATCCCTGGCCAGCCAGTACTATAGGACCTATAACCCAGGCTTGTCTCGAGGGATAACCTTTAGGTATAGAAATTACGGTGTAATAAAGATATCGTTTCTAACTAAGGGGCGCGCCCCCGGGACTTAAGTATTTTATAGGTAAACTGTCAGATGTAGGATATAAGGAAGACTTAGGAGGTACCAGGATATAGCAGTGGACTACGTAGTGGACTACCGGCTGACTGATGAGTGGATATTTATTATATAAGACAGGGAGCTAGACTATTCTAGAAGGAAGGGGTTAGCGATTATCTCTCCTCTACACTACCACTACCTTTAAGATACTCTTCCTATTAACTATTAGTTAACTTATAGTTAGCCTCCCCTTATATAAGACTACGATCCTTATCTGTTACTCCCTATTATCCTCTATTCTTTATCCCTTCGAGGTAGACCTATATTTCCTTCTTAATAAGATAATCGCTTTAAAGCGGATAGCGACCGTTAGGCAGGATTCGGTATATCTAGGACCTAATAGTCGAATAACGATTAGCCACTAAAGGCTTAGTCCGACGATAGTATTCGTATTTATATTTGCGATCCTTAGCCTAATTAAGTATCTTCGTCGTTAGCGGCCGAATAGCTAACTAACTATAACCCTACCACTAATAGCATTACTCGGCTATAGATAATTAGCAGTATAAGTAGTATTATTAGTCTTTAACCCGAGTTTTAATTAAATTTTCCTCTTAGCCCTATAATCTCGGAGAATACCCCGATTCCACCTTATATATCGGGTGCTATAGATATAGATATAGATTAACCGTAGATTAGCTTAGGGTCTTATAAGGCCACGATAGGTATTAATCTAAATTAGCTGTATACGGGAAGTTAATAAGATTAAGAGAATTATTTACCTTTAATTTTATATTCCCGACTCTAATTATTAGTTGAACCGTAGTTACCTAGCCTTAGGGAGCTGGAAGATCTATTAGCTAAAGAGAATATATAGCTTAAATAAGAGAAATAAGAATAGTAGGCTTATAAATAAGAGCGCTAGCGTTAACGATAGCTATACGATTAGTTAAAGAACGTTTAGTAGTAATATACTGATAATATAGCCGCTACTTAATAGTAGGCGAATAATACTAACGATTTTAGTTAGGCGACTATATATATATATCCCTTACCCCTAACTCCTAGTAATTCAGCTATACTCCCGCCTAATATACCTATAGTATCTAGTTAGGCTTTATAGCCCTATTAATCTATTTAAAATTATTAACTTATTCCCGTCTAGATAGCCGCTACCCTATAGCCGACTACTTCGGAGAACCCTGCTTTTTCGAAACTTAATATACTAAATCCCTATTTTTCCGCTACTTCGTAGGCTTAATATAAATCTGTTAGTACGTAGATATAGCAGATTCGTATTATTAACCCTACTCCTAACGATAACACTAACCGTATTATTTTTACTATATAGTGCCTTATACCCTCTCTACGACAGGATTATAACCTAGAAGCTAACCGATGGTGGCTTAACGGTAGGCTATCTTAGGACGAATTTTTAGCTTAGCTCCGCGATTAGATACTAGATAATAATACTCGAGTTTTACGGGCGGTCTAACGTATATTCTATAAGGACTCACGGCAGGGTCCCCGTTAATCCTAC